AGCAGGCTCCAGGCCCTGAGCTGTCAGCACAGAGCCCGATGTGGGGCTTGAGCCCATGAACCGTGAGATCATGACCTGGGCTGAAGTCGTATGCGCAACTGACTGAGCCACCCAGGTGCCCCTATAACTTTGTTTTTAATTTTAAAATCATTTAGCACCAAGTACGTCATTAAATTATGCTTGACAGTGATTTCTCTACAACCATTATATATATTTGCGAATTCTGCTGCTGTAGAAGAAAAATCTAAACTGCAAATTGTTTTCAAGTGAAGTAAAATACTGATGAATGTTAAATTTAATGTTTAAAAAAGCTGACATGGTAATGTTTTCCATCTATTTCACTATTTCTTAATTGTGATTTTGTAGTCTTCTTTTTGTATTATGGGCTAAATAATATTTTCACTTTCTCAAAAGTTTAAAAATAAGAAATTTTCTGCTTTTGTCAATAATGGACTGGGTGATCCGTAACAACCTTCTTGCAAAAGGCAATTTAAATGTTAGAAGACACTTTACAAAATCTTCTAAAAATATCAAAGACCTAGTCAAAAAAGTGAGGAATTACCAGGGCAAGAAAAGGGGATGGATTACAAATCCAAAGAACTCAGTGATAAATTAGAGCTGCTTTTTCCCATGGGCCATTTGCTGAGTAGGAAAATGAAGCTTCTAGGCAGACCTTCTCTCCTGAAGATAACTCGCCTGAAGACTCCCAACTCTGAATGGGGTGTGACAGCATAAGTAGTCTCTACTTGAGAAGGGAAAGTGCTGTCCTGAAGAAACAAGTATCAGTTCAGGCAAGGAGGTAGAAAGAATGGGGAAAAGGTTGAATATGTAGAAGAGTTTTCTCATCATAAACAGAACCCCCAGTGGAATATAGTGAAAAGGTTTGAGAGGGAGGAAATATGGAGATTGAAATTGAGGTAGAATTTCTGAATGAGATGTCTTCTAGCTCTTACCCTATGCAAGATGCATGATCCATTTCTACCAGAAATTATGAGACTCCCATTATGTTAACTCTTCCATATCACAGATATCCTCAATCCTGTCTTCTTATTCTATCTTTTCACCTATACTCCAATTTTATCACTGTGTGTACAGCTCACTGAAATTGTCCTATACCCTCCAGCTCAGCAGTTGGCCTAAAAATTCAAAACAGGGAACCAAAATGTATATTTTGAGTAGTGGTGTACTCATTCTGACACCATTACTAGTATGAGTATCTGGCTCGGCAAAGGGGATTTGGGACAGAGAAGCATTTGTAGGAACTTACCTGCATATCAGAAAAGTGCTAAGGTTAGGAACTTATATCAGAAAACTCAGTGAGGGAGGAGAGGGGAGTAAAACCTGCTTAGAAGTGTCGTTAGACTTCAATATCTAAGACCAAGGTCATAAAATCTCTACTCATACCTCCACAGCTCCATTCTTGTGATTGGGGTAACATCAGATAGTTCCTCAAGGAAATCAACATTCTTTTCCAGTCTAGACCAGGGCAATGCTGGGCCCAAATGATAACATTTTAATAGGCTGGAGTGCCTATCTAGTTTGCCAGCAATTCCACATGTAAGAATTTATTCCAAAATAATTATTAGAGGTGTGGACAAAAATTTGTAGATAAACATATACTGCAGCATTAACTACAATATAGAATAATTGAAAACAAGCAACATGTCCAATAGTGCAGAACTGGATAAATAACTTTTGGTATGTTTGTGAAATGGAACCATGTAAAACCATTCAAAATCATGTGGAATAATATTTCCTGACATGGGATAATTTTTCAAATGCTTTGTAAGTGAAAAACAGTAATTTACAAAATAGTATGTATCCTATGATAATTTTTAAAATGTGTTTACTCTCTTCCTTCCTGCCACTTCTCTCAACCCTTCACACCCACTCTCATCTATCCCTGACTAGACTTAGAAGGGCTTGCATCAATGTATTAAAGATGGTTATCTCCAGATACTTTCTTTCTTTCCAATATTTGCTAAATTTTCTGAACACAGCATGAACTTATTTTATAAATTTTGAAAAATACTAACATTTGGTTAATAAATCAGTAGATTTCCAGTTCCATCCATGTTGCTGCAAATGGCATGATTTAATTCTCATTACCAAGTAGTATTCCATTGTACACATATGCTGAGTGAAGTAAATCAGTCAGAAGGACAGATGTCATGTGTTTTCACTCATATGTGGATCTTGAGAAGCCTAACAAAAGACCATGGGGGAAGGGAAGGGTAAAAATAGTTACAAACAGAGAGGGAGGGAGGCAAACCACAAGAG